AAACATCACCCCTAAACAAGGCGATCAACTGCTTGGCCTATTACTCAACTACTCCGACACATTTGCAGAAAATCCGGATGACACAGGGCGGACGACTGCAGCTAAGCATACCATCGAGACCGGTGGGAGTGCCCCTATCCGACAAAGGCCGCGAAGGATTCCAGCAGCCTACCGACAAGAAGCCGGCCGACTAGTGAGCGAAATGCTGGGAAAGGGCACGATTCGACAATCGCAAAGCCCATGGGCATCACCAATTGTACTCGTTAAGAAAAAGAACGGGTCGTTGCGGTTCTGTGTCGACTACAGAAAACTAAACAGCGTAACCAGGAAAGATGCCTACCCGCTACCTCGAGTAGATGAGACGCTGGACACCTTGGCCAATGCCCAATGGTTCACAACTCTAGATTTAATCAGCGGGTACTGGCAAGTGGAAGCCGAAGACAGGGATCGCGAGAAGACCGCCTTCTGCACACCACATGGGTTGTTTGAATTTAACGTCATGCCGTTTGGACTATGTAACGCCCCAGCCACTTTCCAGAGATTAATGGACTCCACCCTTGCTGGTTTACCTTGGACCACCTGTCTGGTGTACCTAGATGACATCATTATCCTTGGCAGTACATTTGCGGCCCATCTCAAGAATATTGCCCTCGTTTTTGAACGCCTCCGACAGGCAGGCCTCAAACTGCAGCCGGCCAAGTGTGCCCTGTGCCAGGAATCAGTAACATTCCTGGGGCACATCGTCTCAAGGGATGGCATTGCTACAGACCCCGCCAAAACGGATAAAGTGGCTACCTGGCCTACACCCACCTGCCAGCGGGATGTGCAGCAATTCCATCCCTTGAGACGACGTGCCCCAGGAATGTTACTGATTCCTGGCACAGGGTGCACTTGGCCGGCTGGAGTTTGAGGCCTGCCTATCGGAGGAGTGAAGAAGTGTTTTTATTAAAAAGGCTTTTTTGAAACAAAATGCGGTCGTCATGGAAACATGTAATCGTCATGCAAATGATATAATGGCATACATACCAAGTTGAAAAGTCGTTATACCTGTTGCCTAGGTGAAGTATTAAACATTCACCATCAGAACTTACGATACACTGCGTAACCAACACCCTCAAGTGGAGTTTAATTAAAGGGAATGTGGCAGCATACATGTTACTAAAAGTAACAGGGACACAGTGAAAGAATGCTTGCTTTTTAGTAACCTTTAGCCTGTAGCACACCAGGCAGCTATATAGGAATTGTGTGATGGGGTTGGGGGTGTAAGCGTACTCAAATCTGTTGATTAACCATGCTTCATGTATCCTACAAATTCGCAGTATTTTTAATTTACTTGTATCTCTTACAACTCCACCAGTATAAATAGCTCTTTCACCGCTGAAGCTAATAGCAGGGGTGCCGATCTGGCGCTATGGGGCTGCATGCAGCTCCACCGTAAAATTCGTTGCGCCAGAGATAGAAAACGCAGCCCCGTCTAGCGCGCACCTCTTGCACATGCGCACACAGGGTGAACTTTATTGCATTTGCTTTTGCTAGCGATGGCGAGTAATCCGACATTGGCGTCTTTCTGGTCTAAAACGGGTGTTGCTGGACCGAGTACTGCTTCCCTACCCTCTACTAGTACCTCAGATGTGAGTGAAAGTAGGAGCGCGACTGGAAGCAGCGGTTGTGATCATGAGTCTGAGACCGATTCTGAGACTGAATCGTTGGACAGTAGAGAGATGCATGAAAGTGCTGGACCCCATCGGCTTTTTAGCAGCTATAATACCCATGCAGCCCCAATGAGGTTTGTGGGGCTACAGGTGCAGCCCCTTTCATCTTTAACTTCAACACCCCTGTAATAGGAAGCGGGTATTCTTCTAGGACTCGCAGTTGCTCGAATAATTCGGAAACATCATCAAACTAATTAGCTTTGGTAGGATGGTTTCTCTCAGCTCCAACAACGTCTAGGGATTAACACCAAGAACACACCTAGCAGTGAGGAATGTTTTAGAAGCTGACAGTGCTTGTGCATAGTTAGAGTAGAAGTGGACCACACCGGTCTATGTGGAAGTGCACTCTCAACCCACCCACCATTGTTTTCTAGAGAAGGCACTTAGGCTGGCATTTGTGTTAATTACATTTACCTGCTGCTCTGCCAGCAAAGCCTACATAGATATTATGTCCAGAAGTGTAAAAATCTGGAGCATTTTATCTAACACAAATGAAAGCTGTGCAACATCTGGTCCTCCTTCCACCATATACATGGATTCTTTACTTGATATTTCTAGCACTTCATCTCCAGTTGGAGATTAACCTCAATGAGTTTCTTGGAGGAGTCACATTTCAAAAAATGGGGCATCTCCAGCCCTCATTCTTTGTCTATTGTGGACCATTTGAGAAGAAGAAAGTACCTCTATTGTGTACAACCTTTTAAGCAATGGGTCCTTGTCCTTGAGTCGCCAAAAATTTCGTTCCAACAGCATCAACTAGAAGGCAGCGAGAAAAGTGGAGTTTACTCGGTCAATGACAAAGAAGCAGGTGAAGGAAACTCTTTAAGAGTTTTCCAAACCTGAGGTCAAACCTGACAATGAATTTGCTTGCAGTGGATTTAATAGTGCAAACCTGGAGGAGCTTGGCCCCTGGAAAGTGGGAGCTGATGTAGGAAATAGCTTGCCCAGGGCAGATTTATAGGCATCGGTGGGGGGTTGTTAGCTTGGCACATAACTTCCCCGCTCTCTTCCCATCCTCCTGCGCACAATTTTGAAAGCTAAACCTCTGCCACATAGCTACTAGCTAACCCTCAAGGTCAAGGTCAGTCTGTCTCCTTCTTCCAGGTCAGATATATCTTGAACGTCCACACATTTAGCGGAGAAGTGTTGAAGTATATACGTACCTTCTGACTGTTCCTCCGAAGCAGAAATGGATATGCGTACTTTAGAAGACTTGCAAAATACCTAGCGCTGTTTCACTGTTAACTTTCAGGGGTACCAAGGACATCTTGCAGCCTAGCCAGCCGTGACCAGAAGAGAGCAGCAGAGAGCCACGTGTTGAGCGTGCCTGCATACGCGCCGTATACCACGTAAACGGTTTTTTCACGCCAAGTTTATTATGTTATAATCCGGGATTAGAAGGAAAGTTTAGTCCGGGAATAAACGCGGATCTACCCTGGATTTTAGGGGCATGTCGACGCCCTTAGAATGCTGTTTTTGCGGCAGCTTATAATCCAGCATTATAAGGTATGTTATAATCTGGGATTATAAGGACTGGGAATAATGAAAACGTAACACGGATGCAGAAACGTGATCCCGGATTCTAGCGGCGTTTCAACGCGCTTAGAATGCTGGAATTTAGGCTTAAAATCCCGGATTTGAGCGGTTAGAATTTTGTGACAAACGGCGTGCCATAGGGGCACCTGGGAGTGGAAAAAGGTACTATTGGCCTGGTTTTTCAAACTATGGTGCTCAACTTGCAAAACCTGTGCTGCTCGGAAGACAGCTTCCCCGCATCAGAGAGCTCCTCTTGGCACTATCAGAGCTGGGGAACCAATGCAGATAGTTGCTGTAGACATCCTTGGCCCACTTCCCAACAGTCCTGCTGGAAATCGATATGTGCTTGTTGCCATGGATTATTTCACGAAGTGGGCAGAGGCCTATGCGATTCCCAACCAGGAAGCTACTACTGTTGCCAATAAACTAGTCAACGAGATGTTTCTTCGGTTTTCACCCCCGGAGCAACTGCACAGTGACCAAGGTCGACAATTTGAATCTACATTGGTCAAGGAAATTTGCAAATGTCTTGGCATCAAGAAAACACGAACCACCCCCTACCATCCACAATGCGACGGCCTCGTAGAGCGGTTCAACCGCACCCTCCTCAATATGTTGGCAACTACAATAAATGACCACCCTGCCTCCTGGGAGGAGCATCTTCAAAAAGTAATCATGGCCTACAACACAAGTGTTCAGGCAACAACTGGATACTCTCCGTTCTTCCTCATGTTCGGGCGAGAGGCTCGCCTCCCTGTGGATTTAATGTATGGTTCAACTCCGAGCAGCACTACTATAGTCACAGAGTATGCAGCGCAGCTGTCAGCCACCTTTTGGAATGCTTATTCATGTGCAAGAGACAATTCCCTAACGGAGCACTGCCGGCAGAAAAGTTGTTACGACAGTCAACTCTTCGGTGCACCGTACGAGGCAGGCGATCTGGTATGGGTCCACAACTCTGCAACGCCAAAAGGAACACCACGGAAGCTGCACTGTCCATGGAGTGGCCCCATCGAGATTATCGAACCGCTTTCGGACGTCACTTATCGTGTAAAGAAGTCAGATGAAATTGGGGCCCCAAACACAATCCACTTCAACCGACTAAAGGCCGCGTTCTACACACGTAAAGACTCAGGCAAGCCTTTAAAATTGAGGAGAGTGGAGAAGAGAAGGGAGGGGACAGAGAAGAGAAATAAACACAAAACGTATACATGGAGGTTGGAGTGCTATATAACTCACACAACTGTGGCCTCTTAAGTGCTGAGTACCTTTGAAACTGGGAAGGACAGATAGAGGGCACATGATGCTGAGCACAATCACTTGATATTGGAATTCTATCCGGCCCGTACATACATTGTCCAGGAGGGGAAATAAGGCAGTGTATGGACCTCATTGTCTAACCAAGTATTACTTTCAGCAATCGTCATTTATTTGGCAAGGGCAAGGGGACTCTCTCAGCGGCAAAGACCTGCCTTACATGCAGAAAGAGGGGGGGGCAGCAGTGGTGTAGCTCGGATTTCTGAAAGGGGGGTGCTCAAGTGCTGGTGCTTACTAAAACTTGTGTTTAACTCAGAGAGTAGATGATCTAATAGCGGTACTGTGATAGTGTGACGATAGTATTCTAAAGGGCTTTGGGCGGGAACATTTGACCTGTGACCCACACAGTCTTGGTAGTGTTGGTTCAATACCTATACTGCTACACATTACTGAATTTCACTGAACCAATTTGGTCAACATTCTCCCTTACATTGCTTAAATTTTAATGCCATGCCTGGTCTTCCACCGGCAAAGCCACCCATTCGTAGCTTTAAAATCTTTCTCGAGTACCGAGGCGAAGTGGTTTGCCTTTTCCTCCAGGATTGCGGGAGCGTCCCGTGCTTTAGCGTCAACGAACCAGGTATAGAGCGCGGCATCTACATCATCGTCTTTACTGGCTCTCTTCTGCTTACGAGTAGCAAACTTGTTTTTCTCTGCCTCCTTCAATATTGCATCTTTCGATTTGGCAATCTTAGATTTAAAACGCTTAGTCAATTCAGCTTGGGAAGGTCGCTCTCTTTCCATAACAGAGACTATTTCCAGCTTTTGACCAAGCGTCAAATCCGTCCTGTGTCGCTTGCTGGTCGCCATTTTAAACGTGGCCTTAACACTTAACGCGCCGCGGACATATTTAGGTGTCCGCCCAAAGGTAACGTGTAACGCCACTGTGTGTCTGCTTCAGTTCACCGAGAACTTACTTTCACATCGCGGCGAAAACCGGTGCAACACGCGTCTTTCCCGAGTGGCAGGCGGCTTTTGCTACTTCGTGTACCATAGTTCAGAGTTCACAATCGATCTTCTTGGTGGCAACGCCCACACCTGTGCGCAGCTGCAAAAGCGACGAAACGCAAACGACTACGCGCGGAACAGAGAGTACTATGGCAGCTAATTTTAGCACATTGCAACAAGTCTTAGATAGTTCCACAGGAAGTGAAGCTGACTTTACAGACCTGGAGGAGCTGCAATCCAGTGCAGGTACATAAAAACATAAATCATATGACATAAAGTAAATTCTCTTCAGAATCAGTCTCTCAAGTCAGTCCTCTCATTTTACGATATAGGTCACCTGCATGTGAATGTATTCATAAAAACATTACAGAATGCAGAATATAACTTGGCTTTCCAACGTAGATGATGAGCAAGAGCCTGTCTCCCCTTCTCTTCCAACCTCGCCACCATCACCAGCAGAGAGTAACCTGCATAGACAGAGGAGGAGAAGACGATCACAGAGGGACGACAGTGAGAGTGAGAACAGTGAGGGTGAGGAAAGCCAGAGTGAAAGTACAGGAACACGAACAAGGGTCAGAAGGCGGCAGACAGGCACCAGAGAGAGAGACGCAGAGAGTGATGAAGATGGGATGGGACCAGGAAGAAGTGAACAAAGAAGTGAGAGTAGAGGTAGGGGGAGGGGAAGCCGCACGGCAAGTGGAAAGGGAGCAGCACGAAATGGAGGAACAAGGGGAAGGTTAGGAACACAGGGCAGAGCAAGGAAGGGTAGGGGGATCGAACGGCACCGCGTACTAAATGAAAGGGGCGTGGTCACCGTGACCTCTGGCGCTATCGTGCGATGCGTAACGCAATCGTCAGCGTAGTATAGCGTATATATACTAAATGAAAGGGGCGTGGTCATACGTGCTCATAACGCACTTGCCCACAAAACTTGTAACGCAATCGTGGGCGTGGTGCTGAGTAGTGTTGATTGCAGTGAATGACTGTGAAGAGAGATGTGTGAAGATGCTGATAATGAATGCAGAACTGACTGGTGTAAGGTGCTCGATGGTATAAGTGCAGACTCTTAGTAACCGTGTCACTTCAAACAGGATACTGTGTACCTATATCCCTCATGATACTTTGCAGGGCATTATTACCCGTCTTGCCGTACCTCTCCCTCCACATGAATTCGTCCAAATAACTCGGTAGTTGGTCCCCATCACAACCTTTCATTCTCTTCAGTTTCGTTTTTACACGATTCCAGTAGCTTTCTACTGTCTGGGTGTGCACCCCAGTTGCAGGGTCCACGAACTGGGACCTGGGAAGTGTCCACCATTCCAAAGACCCATAACTGATGGTGAGGGGGACGCCCACGGTGATGCTGCAAGGGCCAAAGGACAGGAATTACCCCAAGTTTTTACCAATATTTCTACACACACCTTCGGTTTGTGTCTAGACTCATCTATCTCCACAATTACTCCATTTCCACCCAACACTATCGGAGTGTTAAGGAGGGTTGTTGAGCATACCTCCCGAAACCACTGGTAAACATTAATCGCTGTACATTTACTGATATCAGCATCTAGTGCTGCTGTAGTGGCAGGGAACTGCCGCAGCCAGAAATGCACCAAAAGCAGCCACTTCTTCAGTGGAAGCCGTGATTGAGAAGAAACTGCCGTCGCGTATTGATTTTCGTCCTTTACGCTGTGGACACCACCAAGATCTGCCATCTGACACGTCACTTCTCGGACGTTCTTGCATTCTCACAGTGCATCTGAGTTACAATTATGCTACGTATAATCACCTTCAATTTGATACTTACTATTATATATATATTTGGCAGTCAGCAGTACGTGCAAGAAGGCTATTTCTGCGCTATTATTCCATCAATTCCTCCAAAAACAATCTCTCCAAAATGGACCAGGGACAGTGCCATTGGCAAAAAAAAGCGGGAGCTACTTTCGCTGACTTCTTGCCGCTCAAATCTCCCGCTAAAACCGTACGAATGCGTTTTCTTGCCATCTATGTTGCGAAACGCTGCAGCTTTTTAGCGAAAACTTCGTACTATGCTTACATGGACATGCGCATGACGGACGACCACGCCCCTTTCATTTAGTATATATTAGGGGTGCGGAAATTATGCCAGGCATAATTTGGGAATTTTTTGGGGCTGCTGGAATCCGAGAATGTTCCAGGAATAATTTCTATACAACCCGATAATTACAAGTAAATCAAAAATTCTGCGAATTAAAAAAGTGTGGAATATAGGGATGCCATAAAAAGCAAGGAGACAAGACAGGGATGACCTGGGCATGTGATGCAGTAGTACAATGGGATGATTGTTACATCTTCAAACTGACATTTCTTGCTCATGTAAATTTTACTCCACACAAGCTCTTTGACATAGCTGATATTATTTATCTTCTTCTTTCCATCAGCAGAGTCCTGAGGAACTAGTCCTAGCCCTAGCCCTCAGCAGAGTCCTGAGGAACATCCTTGGAGGAAGACTGAGCCATACAGCCAGCTTGCACGCACTTCACTATACGTATTATATTACACGCGCGTGCGCACATTTTATAACCAATCCGTGTTACGCACCGCAGCGATGTTGTTCCAGCATTACGCTAGCGGTACAAACGAAGGCTCCATACACTTGCCTTCTGGTATGTTTTTGAATTTTCCGCCTCCATGTTTGTGCCAGGCACCGCCCCTTTTATACGCATGCGCACGGAATCGATTCCGCCTCTGCAATTCATTGTGCGAGCTGTGAGCGCGCAAGTTCTGCTAGAAGCGCTTAGCAGATATTTTATCCGCTGACTTCACGTTTAATTGCCTGAGGCTGTTTGTTGTTCTTTACAAACTTGTAATTTCTGTTTCGATGAACTCTCTCACCATGGTACATCAGTGTACCAAGTTTCATTGTTAGAGGACCCACAATAAGCAAGTTAGAGGCACATACACCATTTACAAGTATTCATTGCCTGAGGCTGTTTGTTGACTTGTAATTTCTGTTTCGATGAACTCCTACCTGGTATATACATCAGTGTACCAAGTTTCATTGTTAGAGGACCAACCATAAGCAAGTTAGAGGCACAAACATCATTTACAAGTATTTATTGCCTGAGGCTGTTTTTTTTTGTTTACAAACTTGTAATCTCTGTTGCAATCAACTCTCATCATGGTACATCGTGTACCAAGTTTCATTGTTAGAGGACCAACCATAAGCAAGTTATAGGCACAAACATATTTTACAAGTTTTTATTGCCTGAGGCTGTTTGTTGTTGTTTACATTTTTATACTAATGATGGGTTGCATGTGTGTACAAAGTTTTATCACTCTGGGTATTAGCTTTACCCAGTTAGCACACTTTATTTGTCTCTATCATAATGTATTGCCTGGGGCTATTTGTTGTTGTTTACCTCTTGCACAACCTGTCATGGATTCCAATATCTGTGCAAAGTTTCATATCCATATCATACCCGGTTTTTGAGATATGCTTGTTGAAACTGAAAAACAACAAGAAGAAGAAAATTTAAAAGATTTCTTGGATACATGCTCTTTGTGACGATACAAATTAGTCTGATGTGTCAAAGTTGGAATAGAAAGTGAAAGATGAAAATCTCAAATGTATGGGCATAATGCAGGACAACCTGTGTCATCCCTATATACTAAGCACTACCGTACTTAGTGATATTTGTACGCGTGCGCGTGCAGTCATGTGACACACAATTACTATGGCGACTGGCGGCCATTGCTCGAGTATATACATGTAGCTCAAACGCTGTGGACACTCAGTCGTCAGTTTCTGAGGTAGAGAGCGATACTTCCTCCACTTCTTGTTCCGCTACTCCGGCTCCATCGTTACTTGATCGACTCAAGGCACCACAGAAATCTCAGTTAGCCAGAAAGAGGGCAATAAAGACCAACAGCGGCAGGTTTTACAAGAGACATACGATTCCGTCAACAAAAAACGACCCGAAGAGTGTCTCTCCTGCCGAAAGGGTCTCGCAATACAAGTATGAGCCATTCACTGTGTCTGCTGGTAAGCTTTTCTGCTTTGGTTGTCAGAGCTCCAAGCTGAAGGCTCTGAAGAAAGTTTTGGAGGAGAAGCAGAGAGCATTAAGTCCTCTTTTGGAGATCAACAATAAACCACACTTCAGGATTATTGAAACATCACTTATGCTGCATTACGCGTCGTGCGATAACGCCAGAGGTCACGGTGACCACGCCCCTTTCATTTAGTACGCGGTGCCGTTCTTCCTACCTGATCCGGGTAGGGGGAAGTAGAGGACAGACAGTACAGGCACCTGACTGGAATACACACAAGACCAACCAACAAATGTAGTGCTTCTAGTGGGCCACGTATCACTAAGTACGGTAGTACTTAGTATACAAGTAAATTAAAAATCCTTCGAATAAAAAAAAAGAGGGATCGTATAAAAACAAAGGGAGACAAGAGAGGGATGGGATACAAGAAACATGGGTAATGAACAGATTTGAGTATGCTGACACCCCCAACCCCATCACACAATCCCTATATTGTTGCCTGGTGTGCTACTCTTAAGGCCCAATTGGCTTTTAAACTCCACTTGGACTCTATAAGGGTATTGTAAGTTCTGAGTATTGTATTGGTGAATGTTAATACTTCACACCTAGGCAACAACATGTGATGGGGTTGGGGGTGTCAGCGTACTCAAATCTGTTCATTACCCATGTTTCATGTACCCATCCCTATCTTGTCTCCATTTCTTTTTATACGATTGGGGCAAGCCCCTATAAAAATTAAAGTACTAGAGAAAAAATACCTGTTGTCGCCATGGAAATGATGTGCATACCATGTTTCATCTCCATGTGTGCTGCTGTTAGCAAGTTTGAGGAGTGAAGAACGAGAAGCCATTTTGACGATGACGTTTTGCGCATGCGTAAAACTGAGACTGACAACGAACGTGCAATTTCCGGTATATACGATGGCAGACTTGCGTGTGCGCGCGTCCCCGTGTGGGTGGCGCGCTGCGCTGGCACAGCACAGCTAGGTGTCGGTCGACGTAATGTAGGGAGGACCTCCAACCGAAAACGCACGGTCGTCGATGTAATGGCCGAGAAACACTTAGTGCTCGCTCTAAACGCCGTCTGTGATTGGAGATAGTTTGCCGTATGGCAAGCTGGGCGGCAAAGCGCGTGTGCCAGTCCAGGACAGAAAGTTCCAGCTCACCTTTGCTACCTTGTTCCCCATCACCGTGTCGTGAGATAACTGCTGACGAGTTAGAGGGCTTCATCGCTAGTGAGAGGGAACTTACGGAGAAGGCTCTGGTATGGAAGAAGCAACTTGTGTGATAGACCCCGACTATTTTACAGCGATGTCAGTTGTTCAGACGCGGATCAGAGTGATGATGAGTCGGATGAGTCAATCACCCTTGATTCTCTCTCGCTGAGTGATAGTAGCCTGACCTCCTACAGTTCCGTGAGTGACAGTGAGGAAGAGGCATGTGTTGCTTCTTCTCATAACGCTCCACTGTGTCCGGGTTCCAGATAATGTCAAATCAGCTATTAAAGCTAAAGATAAGTTGCAAAAGGCCAGTAAAAGAGCATCAGAAACTAGCGAGCAAACTGTGCATAGACAACAGCTGAATAGAGAGCACATGGCAAGCATGAGAACAAGTGAAACTAGCAAGCAAACTGTGCATAGACGAGAAAAAGACAGAAACCACAAAGCAAGCACAAGAGCAACTTAAAAACCAGT